AATAATCCTTGCATTTGATATAGCACCTAATAACGTCATTGAGGTGTCTTGAAGCGCTTCACAGAATATATTGTAAAGGGAATTGACTGTGTATTCTGTGCGCAAAATTTGACAACCAATTGTGCACAGTTGTCATGCATTGAAATTTATTTTGTTTAAATAAAGTGTATTTCTGGATTGGTGCTGCCAAGTGGTCCCTATTCTGAGATCAGGAATCAAAAGCATTATTCCACCAGCTGCTTTTAACTCTTAAGACTGCTAGCAAGTCTGGGTGCTTTTCATGCTCCCTATGCCAGACAATTGTTTTTAGCTCATGTGCCATAATGTACAAACGTCATTAATTCTGCTAAAGTGCCAGTAGCCACATTATTGTAACAATGACCATGTAATTACAAATTTTAAACAACTTTTTTCTAAATTTAGATTTTTTTGAAAACCCCAAACAATATCATATTTTACAAAGTTAAGCCTATTGAAACATGTATGATGAACTTTATAAAATATGTAGATCCATTAGAAACTATTCTTGGTAAGTCTAATACTATCAGCATAATAATATAAAGGCCAAAGCACATTATATTGGCAAATATCCACACTGCTGAATGCAGTAGATGTTTGGGCCACCCTACATATTATTTCCTAATCTAAATGAAAGAAGAAAATCATTGACACCAGGGGAAAAAATAAGTTATGCAACCAGTCTACAAGCTCAGCAATTGAGAGAGACTCCCTCTGCTTCAGTCTCTGGAAATGCAAAGTAATATATGCGTGACAAGCAGAATAGTTCAGAGTGTTACTGAGGTTTACCAGTAGAGCAATGATTTGGAAAACTGCTTCAAATTCTCTGCCAAGTCTCTCCTCCAGGTGAGCCAAATTGACATCTTACTGTAATCCTCATCAGATGGCTGTCACGAGTGGACAGCCTGGCCCAATTTATTCAGTGCAGTTTTCTCGGTTTCTTTCTATTTTCTTGCTTACTTTGTGTGTTTCTCAGGGTCTTTTTTTCCCCTTTCGTTATTTTCTCTCACATCAGAGAGCAGACAGGAATTGGCACTGAACTAGGAAAAGGCTAGTGATTGGAACAGCCATCAGGATTGGAAATGAGTAAGAGCAAAACTGTGAATTGTAAGATAGGGCCCAGTGCTGTTATTTGCATTATTCAGTACTATAATTCATTGTTATTTCAAAGAAATACTGAATCTTTCTCCCAGTTATTCTGGTTCAGATCTCTTTTCTACACCAAATTTACTCCGAAATTAAAATGAATTGGCTGCTCATCTCATTGTTGTTTAAAATATGCTGATGGTGCGGATTAGCTGACAAATTTGTCCATATAACAACGTTCACCTGATTTCTAGTCATTTGTATTTTGTAAAGTTCTGTGAGAGTTTTGCACAAAAGATGCTACATCAATAGAAGTTATTTTTTATTTTAACGTAGTGCAACCTCACTAAACACTGTATTCATGATTTTCAGTTCTGAGGATGGTGCTACGTTTCTCACTGGAAATGTCATCTTTTATTTTTACCTCCCAGTCCCACACATTAAATTCTAGTAGTAGAATTGCAGTGACCCTTTGACTGAGAAGTTTGAGAGCAGAATATCTACTGAGCAGTAAATACCAGTACATCTCAGCCTCACTAATTGTTTCTGAGGCTTACAGGTCTAGATCTAGTCCAACTGAATACTGCCTACATGAGGGGTCCTAAGAAATATCAGTCACTGTGAAGTCTTACCTCTACTGGTCACACTGCCACAAAAAGGGCAAATTTATCATCCTCTTCCCTCAGTGCTTGGCACGAAGCCTGGAAATGCAGGGAACAGGGATACATGAAAATAGGCATAATGCGTTGCTACCATTAGATCACAAAAATGCACCATTAGATCACAAAAATGCAAACAGACATGGTAACCTAGTACAGAAACAGAAGTTGCTGGGATCCCTCAGCAGGTCAGGCGGCATCTATGGAGAAAGGAAAGTGAGTCAACGTTTTGGGTCCATGACCCTTCGTCAGAACTGGAGCATGTTGGGAGGGAGAGGCTTTTAAGGGCTAACAGAGAGGGGGGAGGCAGGGCAAGGAAAACAAAGGAGAAAATGGGGTAGAGAAATGGGGTTTCTCCCCATTGATGAAACGTATCATAGTGAGGTGGTGGGTGCTTTTTTTCCTCTTTTAATTAGCTTTTGTCTGAAGTTTACCTCACCTCTATTTCCCTAACAGTGAATAGAAATCCAGTTGTTAGTCGATTATTGGATTGCTTTCCCCAAAGAAATGAGATCACTCAGTCCACAATAGTTTGTGGGATACTACAGTCACAATTGGCTGCTGCGTTTCGCCCACAAAATGCACAGTCGACCCACTTCATAATATATTCTGTCTCAACCACGTGATAAGGCGTTATATCGAATGCAAGGATTATTATTACTATTTCCTTTCAGCAGCTGATGTTTGCTGCATCTGCTGTAATATAATCATTGCTAATCTGCACAAAGTCAAGATGTTCTGTTCTTTGAAATTCCATGAATTACTCCCTCAACCAGTCACAACTTACATGATTTACTGTTCTTTCTCCACCACCTTTGCACCAAATGGAAATGTGTCTGTATTTGTGTGTGTGGGGGGGGGGGGGGGGGGTGTGGGGGGAAAGAGGAGCACAAATCATTCTTGAATAAAGTCATTGTCATCTTATCTTCAGTGTCATTCAGATGAATAATGGTTTGTTATTTCAGGCTTTCAACTGCACAGAAAATATAGCAGTCCCAAAGACAAAAGCATGTGTTGAAATTATGGAGAATCCTCCGAATGCAAAGAAACTCCCACATATCACCCTTAATGCACTGTTAATTCATTAAAGACTGGGAATGGAAGATTAGGTTCACCTCACATTCACATTGATCTTGAATTGTATATTTTAGTCAGAGTGTACACCTATTATTATTTAATCAGCTGTTCCCAGAGGCCGAGCAATGCATCTTTTGTTCACTCCAGCTAAGCCACGGGCACTTATTTGGCTATGTTAATATGCCAGGGGACCTTATCTATCATGGGTACTTGGTGACATTCTTTGTTGACAGAAAAATGAGCTCATAAAATTTGTGGAAATAATGGAGATGGAAGACTGTGCTTCTAAGTTATAAACAATTTAAATCTTGAAGTTTACCGTACGAATAGTGACATGCGCAATAACAGATTAGCTCAACCTGTCCGATTATTTGTCACTTGTGATTGAAGGCCCTCTCAGCTATTAAATCAAGCATCCAATCACTGTCAGTCAGAATTTCAGATAACTGTCATATAGATACAGAGATGTTGTTGATCTGATAGTGCACATCGCTAATGTAAATCAAGTTTAGAATTATAAATTTTTATAGCCATTCATTTAATCATCATTTAACTGAAGTAATCACTTATGTTTTTTTGCCATTTCTGGTTGTTGAGTTTGATATAAATGGGACATGCATCTGCATAAGGTTTACAAAACTAGTCCTGCTCAAAGTGCTATTACGCAAATGGACAACTAAATGATTAACTGGAACATTTAACTGTGTCTAATTGAATATTAACAACATTTTGGAATAATCTTTTCATCCTATTCTGCATTTCCTCTGGGCATAAGAATAGCTTGTGTAAATTTATCAAGCAAGGTTTTTTTAGTGAAAGCTATTGATTTCATATATATTTTGGAACACATTCCTCTAAAAGCACAGTCAGAAATTATTTAGACTCATTGATTCTTAAAACTGTTTTTCTTTGTAACAGTTATCTGCTATTGCCCTGCACTCTGAATTTTCCTTATTGTCTAATGACATTCAAGCTTAGACATTTACGTGTTTCTGTTTATCACCAGTTCTTCCCGTCTCCTGCCTGAAAACCACATCCTTAGAGCCTATATGATTTGCAATTCATCACATATTGTTTTCCATAGAAAACTAATTTATTACCTTAAGAAAAAGACGTTAAGGCTTTTGCAGGCTTGTGTGCATTCTGAACTGCTTTAGTCCTTCAAAAAGCATTAAAGTGGACCATCCAAATATTTTCATTGTTAATGATGATTTCAGCTGCAATCATAATTCTCTGTGATGAATCATGCATTCTTTCTTCAACAAGCGCAAAGAAATCTTATTTAATGGATTATTTTGTAACAAATGCAATTGACTCGTTGGATTTACAGTTATTTTCCATTGGAACAAACTGCTCAGTTTCTGTGCTAAAGGATTTAAAAATACTGATAAGGAGACAGCAATTCCTTTAACATTGCTAATCCCTCTATTTCCTGATAACATAATGCAAAGTATATAGCTCCTTCAATAATAAGTTTACAAATGAATTGTCCTCAAGAGTCCCCTGTAGTTTAATGGTTAGAACACTCACCTCGCAAGCGAGAGGACCTGGCTTGACCTGGGCGAAACGTTGTGCAAGTTTCCTTACTCCACTTGCCTCTGTTTATCTAGAAGTAAGTAGGAACCCTGGTTGTTAGTCGATTGGCGGATCACTTTTCCGGGGGTAATAATCCCTTAAAAAAATTGGGCTACTCAATCCACGATTGTTTGTGGGACACAGCTGTCGCGTTTCGGCCACAAAATATACAGTCAATTCACTTCACAGGATATTCTGTGAAGTGCTTTGAGATGACTCGAAGACATGATAAGGTGCTATAGCAAATGCAGGTATTATTGTTATTATAGTATACTTTTTGTATATATCCCAAATGTTATGTCAATTATGAGGATAGAAACCTTTTTCCACCTTTTCACTAGTTTCACTGGGAATAAAGAATGACTGAAGCATAGAGTAAATACCAAAAAAAGGTTCTCATAATTGACATAACATTTGGGATCTATACAAAAAGTAGGCAAAGTATGAGTTAGTATTATGGCAACCAAATTGTTAAATTATTTAATTGACCTATTTTTACAATCGGAAAAATCAGTTCTCTGATGCTTGAATGGTATTGCATTTAATCTGATTGAACTGAGTTGATCAAATGGTTTCATTTTACAGATATTGATGAGTGCGCCCAAAATAAACATTACTGCAGAGAGAATACCATCTGCATTAATAGCCCTGGAAGCTACACCTGTCTCTGCAAAGATGGTTACATTAAAATTGATGACTACTCCTGTACAGGTAAGAATATGTCAGTAATTATATTGAAGTTAATGTATGATGTCTCCATTTATGCTGAAGGTGATACTCTTTGTGTGATAGAAAACGAGGATCAATAAATCCTGCCAATATTAAATATGTTGACTATCCATATGCAGGGAGAAATATATTAATAATTGTCAAAATTCATTATTGCCAAAATCCATTAACATTTAAAAGCATGAGCCAGATGTTACATTGTGTTTTGGTCATTGTCTATCACAAGGACAATTGAAATGCTGAGTCCCTTACATCTTAACATGAAAGTTCAGCCTTTTAACAGTATTGATTGACACTTAAACTGACACCCATGCAAGGGTTGCATTTGTTAAAGACAAATAAGGGACAGATTTGCAGAGAACAATGTTGTCAGAGAAAGAGATATAGCTATCTGCAGTCGAAAGAGCAGAAATCCACCACCAGTATTCCATGGGGCTTTTCAGACTGATACAGGGTAGGATGGTCCTCGCAAGCTATGCGGTCTTAGCTGGGAGACGCCAGCAGTATCCCAACCCGCACAGTTCTTGCCAACCTAACCTTAATACATTCTGGCATTAGGTAAGCAAAATGCATGCCTCCAGGTAGAGACTGACATTCCATTCCAATACACATCTCTGGAATTTCCATCTATAAGTGAGATTCATGGAATTCTCAATTTGGTTTGGATACTCTTAAGCATAGTATTGGGTCTCCGCTTGTGTCAGACACCCAGCTGGCCAAAAGAAATACTCTTCAAAACGTAAAGAGAGTTTCTCCCAGTATCCTGACCAATAATTCCCTTCATGGCTGTTTGTATGACCTTACTGTATGCAAATTGGCTGCCGTCTGCCTACAAATACACATTCACTACATTTGACAGTAATTTCCTGTGAAGCACTTTGTGGCATTTCAAAATTAAGAGCAACGTATCAAATGCTAGGATTATTAATACCATCCAAGACATTTTCTGACAATGAGACCATGTTCACTGAGCCCTTTCTTTAGCGTGTGCTCTGGCCACATGTGAGTTCAAGTACATTGTCAATATACACATCTATCTTTGTCTTAGATTACAAAAAATGTACAGCACGGAAACAGGCACTCAGTGAGTGCTGGTGTTTATACTCCACACAAGTCTTCACCCATTCCTTTCTCCTTCCCATACCCTTCTATTCCTTTCTCCCTCATGTGAAGGCTTAGCTTCCTCTTGAATGCATCTACATTATCTGATTCAACGACCACTTCAGGCAGCGAGTTCCACAATCTCACTACCCTCTGCGTGAAGTAGTTCCTGCTAAATTCTCTTTTAGATCCCCTAGTTGCTATCTTATAATTGTGTCCCCGGTTACAGACTCCACAAACATAAGCAGAGGACACAAATATAAGGAAACATTAATGTTAACCTTATCAAACCCTTTTATAATTTTAAACACTTCTGTTGGGTCCCTCCTTAAACTATCACACTTTTTACAAAATGGGTATTATATTGGCCATTCTTCAGTACTCTGGCACTGTTCCTTTTTCTGCGGAGTTCTTAAGTATACATCCTAGAGGCTCAGCTATCTCCTCCCTAATTTACCTAAGGATCCAATATGGTTGTGTGCTGCCCAAGCAAAATTAATACAAGGACATGAAAGATTTGATTCTGTTTCATCCAGTGACAACTTCCACCATTATCTGGTCAGGTTTAACATGAGTTAGATGTAGTTTAATGCTCTATTTCCTACAGGCCCCTATCATTATGCCTTACAACAACAATTTACATTTATATAGCACCTTTCACATCAGGAGGACATCTCAAAACACTTCACACAAATAACGAAGTGTTAGAAGCCAATGTTCTTTCCTTTCTCGAAAGCTGTTATATAAACAAATACTGTATGAGCTTCAGTGTCGTTACATTGTGTGTTGGGTACATTCAGATTGACAGTTAAATGGATTATTACAATCTTAGTCATGGAGTTTGGCTTTGTGAGGTTTGTATCAAGTGCTTTAGAGTTAAAAATGAATCAAAAGAAAAGGTCAAAGATGTAATCCTTGGTAACAGAGAAAAAAAGTAATGGACACTAATGAAAAAAGTCCACAAAAACAGCTATTATTTCCTGTTAAGTGTATTCGGTTCCCAACTACATTCTTGGGTTGTGGTTAAACAGAGAGAAATCCTATAACCATTAGCCCCATACAATTGGCTGAAAGACACAAATGGGTTTAAATCCAGCCTCAGAAAAGCACTCATGTTCACATTCAGTGGGCCATTTTTATTTCCTACTCCAGCTGTTCTTCATAGAAGGTTACAGGAGGGAAATGGAACGATTGCCCTATTAAATCAATGCTGGTGTTTTTTCTGCGCATGAATCAATCTAATCTCAGTCTCTTGCTCGCTTCCTATTGTTGTGGAATCATTGTCAAACCCAGTCTGTCATGAATTTAAATGTACAGATAACCAGGTATTAGAACTGTCCGAACTAAATATCATCCAAATGGAAACTAGAAGTAGATTGTGTTGATTGATCGTTTTTTACTGATGTTGAAATGGAATTTAATTCATTGCTTGGACTCTGGCTCTCTTCAAATGGTGATGGAATTGCACTGTATTTCCACTTCAAGTAGCAGATTGTACAGGGACTTACTCCATATCCTGATGTCTTTCCTGTGGAGTGTAGATCCTGGGTGACATCTTGGTATTTCACCACTGACTTGTGAGCTTTAGATTGTATTTAATATAGGAGTGTTAGTTTATTATAATTGCATTATATTGTCAAATGGTGCCAAGACACTGATGTATTTTCTATGGACTAATAATATTATTACAGCATCTAAAAAAATTCCAAAAATAGTAAAATATTGTGAGAGAAAAGTCTACTTTAAAACCAGAAAAAATCTGCTTTATTTGCATTTTAGTAATAAATATCTTTATATGCCACGTATTCAGTTGCTGCTTTTTGTTGTTACAGTATGCAAATATCAAGAATTCTCACTGATATGTAAGAAAATGCAATAGGAAGGCTCTCTCAGATAAATTGAATCATGGCTGCACTTTTAATTTTTGGCTTATTGTTCATAGTTCTTAAAATAGTAAACTGATAACCTTAAACCAATAAAACAGGAATGCCCTGGTGACTCAATATTTTATTAGTATGCCAGACACTTTCTACTCAAACTTACAAACATCTGCAAAGTAAGACCACAAACAGTCATGGGGGATGGGGGAGGAGGCTCAATTACAATGTTGAGCTTTAAAAAAATTCTATTCACAGCAACTTGGATCCCAAACTGTTTTAAAATAGGTTAATTTTCTCATGACTGGAGATTGTTACTAGATAGCCTTAGGCTCATAGATCTCACTGACTCAATGAATGCAATTAAACATTGTGTAAAGGTACATTTTACTGCTGGTGGCAGGTTGCGCTTTGTGTGTTGACACATCCCTGCCTTACATTTATTGCAGCAGTTTTATCCATTGACACTTTTTTAATATTACTTTCTGTAGTTGGTGAAGTCAAACACCATTTAGAGTGGCTGCCATCCAGAACCCATGATACCAAATGTGACAGGATGTAATTTCAGGCTTGGATGAGGCAAATTGTATGATTTGGGAGAAAAGCATTTACTTGACAAAGAATTTATATCACAAATGAGTGAAGTAACTGGACGGAGAAAACCGGGAGCAGCTGGAAGTTTTGTTTCTCACTTTCTGTTCAATAGACAGAAACAATCACTAATTAAAGTTCCATCTGGGTATAACAAGTGAATAGCTCCAGAATGGGAAGAACGCGGGCATAAAATGTTGGCATGAAGACTTGGTATAACAAGGTGCAACAGTAACAAGGTCAGACAGAATTACTCCCGCCGAAGGCACAGAAGGATTGAGACAATGCACTGCACTAATCAAAATCTGAGCTGCTCCCTTGTTGGAGTTAAGACGTACAGTTTTACAAAACTATCAGGTATGTACGCATTCAAAACATGAGCTGCCTTTCCTACTTTGTTATTCCTCTCGCAATCTATAAGCAAGATAGAAATCTTCCATTATTTTCACATTTCCTTACAAGGTTGCAAACTCTTAGAAAAGAGAGTTGATCTGATAACATCATATTCAGCTTTCCTTGACAGAGTGATTGACTTGGTATTTTCAGTTACCTATTTTTCTCGTAGCTGTCAACAGTGATTTGGTCATGACTTATCTTTCAGTCGAAGCATTAACAACTTGTAGAGGGTGACATCAGCCCCGCAGAGAACAAAGTTACTTTTTATGACATTCAGCAGATTATTGTTTGAGATATTTCCTCGTGTCTATATAAAGCAGTTCCAAGACTAGCCCAATCCCCACAAGAGCATTTGTCTTCTCTAAGAATAATGTGGCTCATTGCAAAGAAATGCATCTTTTCATACTTTCCATTCAGAAACAGCTGTCATGGGTCCCCAAAATACACCAAATCTTAATGCAAATAAATAAAACTTGACAGATCTAGTGCAGATCAGAGATGCTTCTTGCAGCTCCTCCTCAATAGAACTGTTGCTTCCTGAGAGGTTTCACTGCTGAGATATATTATTGACTTCATCTTTCATCTATTTGAAGTACACTTTTTAAACTGATATTTATTACCTCTTATGTTAGTAGATTTTCACTAAAGACCCTGGAGCCAGCTCAGCCCCAAGGAAACCCCACTTACCTCTTCCTCACCCAACAAAGGGGACTAGTTATTAGTCCTTATCCAGAGGTAGTTGTGCTGCTGCCATTGATGTAGCACGCACCACACTCTTGAGTGTTATTTTGCAGCAATGATTTTTTGGTAACGATTCTTGACAGATAGGAATAAGAAACTGGACGTAATTCTACCATTAGTGGAAATCTACCATCTAAGGACATCTAGGTCTACCAATAGATCTACCAGCTACCAATAGGAACCTCTAGATCAAACCTCTAGTTTGCAAATGTTTCCCAGTCTTTAGTTCAATGTATATCAATGGAGCTGGACTGCAATGGTTAGTTATCCAGTTCC